AAAATGTTACTACTAAATCAAGTGAATATCTGGATTGTAAGTAGTCTAGATACTGATTATTCAGAACTCTGCATTCTATAGGTGTCCCTGAGTCTGCTGGATTGATTGCTCCTCCTGTTGCTGAGGAAAAGGGAGCCTTGGCATACAGTGAGGGAGGATCCATCCTCAGACTATGACTATGCACCTGACCCTGACCAATCCCTGAGTAGGATGACTCAGAGGTATGGCTGAGGGCAGGTAATAAAAGGTCTGGGGACACTCTGCAGAGCTCTCTTCCCCCTAGGGCCTCTCCCTAGGAGGTCTCTGTGTTACAGACGAATGGCCTGGGCCTCAGCACATGGCAGGTGCTGGGGGCCTAGAGGACTAGGACACCATAGGAACTTTGCTTAGACCCCATACACGTGGCAGGTGTTGGGTGCCTTGTTCTAAGAGGATACTACTACTAATCTGGAGTGCTCCTTGGCAGTGGCAGATGCTGAGGGCACAGAGATTCCAGATACTTCTGAGGAAAGACCTGATAGAAGCTGGGCCGGAGGTGGACCCACAAGAGAGATCCCTTACCCTATTCCAGGTGTCTGTTCTAGAAGAAGCCAGAGGTCCTTACCTAAGTCCAGAGATAGCTATCTTTCTCATATAAGTTACTGGACCATCCTGGCTGTCCGCAGTGTTCTAGAAGAAACCATTGGTCACTCTGACTGGATCCGTTGCTATGGGCCTTAGCGGTTGCTAGGGGAGAAAGCAGTCCTTTGAAGAATCCGACAGGGAATCCTACAGACCCCAAATCCTCTCTCCTGTTAATCCTTGCAAATAAATCTACAAAAAGACCCTAAGACTGAAGTCCATTCTGTCCGTGAGTGTCGGTGTGCTGTTGCTGATCCAAGAGGGCCGGTGGCTGGAGCAAACAGGTAGGAGAACCTCAATTCACATACAGCGGCTCCTTTGGGGGTGATTGCTTTATTGCATGTTAAATGTCGATATATTAATTTAAGAGTCATGTATTAAATCTTAACGGATTCTTATCACCTTTTTATTATTATTTGTAAGATGTATGTAAATTTAGTTGTTAGATTTATTTAAATGTAGTTAACAGCGCAGAACAATTTATTCACAACTTTCAACCTTTGCTCAGGAAGGTATGGATAAAGTCTTTCAGCGCTTATACATTTGTTAAAACATAATTTGCTGATTTCTTTATCGGAAAACTAAACTCCTAAAAGCAGCTAAATGCACAATTAGGAAATAATGATTGTATTTATATGAATAATATTTTACTCAATATTATATGCCAAAGTTATTGCAATCATGTTTTTAATTCAGAGAACCTTCTAAACAGCCCAGCCAGAGCTTTGGCCTCCATTCCAACAGAAAACACAACACTTGTTCAAGATCCCTTGTCTGAACACCTGCTGATTGGATATTAAAGGAGGAGTAGCAGCACACTAATGAAGTCATCGTTCTGCTCTATCCTTCTCTAAGCATGTGCATGCCACAGCGCCTGATTGGCCCTTCCTCTTTCAGTTTGCTGTGCAGGAGATAAGAGTGGTCTGACATGAAGAAAAAATTCAGGTACTTGCAGACTGCATACATTTCATGCTTTTTATTAAAGAGTAACTTAATTGCTGGTTTTGTTCAGGCTGAAGGTTACCTATAGAAGTATCTGATGAAAACTGTTACAATTCAGAGCTTGAACTGCCACTGAAGCAATGACGTCTCCAGGGTAAAGCAGTTCTGACATATACCATCCAATAATTGTTAGTATTGAGAGTATGTAACATGGTTGAGGCATGCATCTTGCTCGACTGAGTTTTTTCAGGGATTTAATTTTTCTCACTTATCTATCAAAATTAATACTTGTCCTCTGGAAAGAGCTATGGGTACATGTTATTATGGACTACCATAAGTGGTATATGCATATTTGTGTGTGTGTATGTGTATTTCTAACTTGTGTACACACACACATTTCTCATGTACTATATATGTAAAAATATACCAATATTGATAATGAAAAGAAATCTTAATGATTGCTAAAGCAGTATTATATAACATCAATTATAGAGTAATACATTGGAAAAGATAAAACACAAATACCTAAATAGAAAAGCAGTATGTTTTGATAAGTATTTTCTTCCCCCAGATTGCAATTAGGTTGAATTTTTTTCACGGATCTTAACGTAATATGTAAATTACTAACACTGGAAGTTACAATGGCAACTGCGCATGCTCATGTGCACCGTGAACTTGTTGTGTCCATGCTATTACTACTGTTCACAGAAAGGATTTGACACCAGATGTGATTGAAAATGGATGCATTAGCATGTAGGCTTTAACACATGCTGCCGTACATTTTCTGTCATATCAACAAATTCTTGAAAGTCTGCATTCGATCGGATTTAAAGAAATTCTGCAGACACCTGAAATTGCAGCATGCAGTTTATTTACTGCTAAAACAGGCCGCTACTGACTCCCAACACATGATTCCTGTCATTTGGCAGTGGTGCAAAAAACACTGCTTAGCCATAACATCCTAAGGTCTCGTTCACACCTAGGCGTATTGCATATGCGCGACCGCCGCACGTTTTTTACCGCGATTCGCAGTAAAAGTCGCGTGACCGTCGCGCGTTTCCAAAGGCTACTTGGCTGTATCCCAATGGAAACGCACAACAAAACGGCCCAAAGTAGTACATGTACCTTTTCAGGCGTGGGCCGTTTTGTAGCGCGTTAGGGACGGGTGGAAATACGCCAAGGTGGGAACGAGACCATTGAATACAATGGGATTTATATTTTTGAGCGTTTTGTAGAGCGTTCGTCGAGCGTAGAACACGCTACAAAACGTTCAGGTGTGAACGAGGGCTTAAACTGTCTACCTTTTATTGTCAAGGTTCATAGAGTGATGGACTGCAACACCACTACTACTCCATGCTAGATTCCTTAGTGACATGTCTGGTACATCAATCGCTGACAGACTAAATAAAATAGTGCAAAATGTTGCATTCTTGTAGCCATAAATGTCCACCAGTGTCAGCTGTCTAAATGGATAGGGCTTTGTTGAAAATGGAAAATGTTGTAGCAGATCTAAGTGGGCTTTGTTTTTATTAGATTAATCATCTACTTTGTCCAAAATCTGAACACAAATGGTTGTCTTCTATGTTGTGCTTTGGTAGAACACCAAAATGGACATTATCCTACTATTTTCAAAGTAAACACAAAAACAATAATGCAGTCTTTTTACAATTAACATTTTAAGAAACCAAGAAAATCACTATAGAGTAAAACTTACACATTTCTCAAGACAGCATGTTTTTCTCCATATGTCAGCCTTTAACCTACATACAGTAAACTTTTATCAAAAAAATGAATTCTGACAAATGTTGATGATATATAGGTCATGTAATGTTTATATTAACGGATGTATGGATGTGTTTAGTTCCTATACCTATCTTTTTCTATTCAAGGAACATAAAATTTAAGCATATATACATATACCAGTCTTAACATTTTGCCCATGTCGAGAGTAATGAATATATTTCCACTATGTTAGTTTACAAGATTTCACAAATAAACATAACTGTATTACAATAATAAGGTATGCTTGACATACTCACAGCTCTAAGGCACATAGTAGCCAATTTACATAGATCACAAAAAATGACATAGAACATTTGATGATTACTCCATGTGATCCATGCACTGTACAAAGAAAGGTGACATATAAGTTGCTTTAGAACATGTAGTATGGTTTAATGCAATGCCTAGAGCATTGTTGACCACATGTTCCTAAGTGGATTCCATTTTATCTAAATAAAATGTAGGAAATGTCAGAAGTTAATGCAGTCGCACAAACAATGAAAAACACTCACGCACATGCAGACAGATCTTTGTTAGTTTCAATTTTGTAAATAGACATGTTTGGCGAATGTGAATGACAGGTTAATTATAATTTATTTTAACACTGTATCATCATAAAGAAAACTGGTAAAAATTAAAAAAAAATCTATTTCAAATATCTACATGTAAAATTGTAGGCAGTGAAAAAGCACTTTTTTGACAAAGAGTGTAGAATGATGTTATTTGTCAGAAATTACTGAATGCTTTGTTTAGTTACCACACACAAATTCACATATCAGACCATACAATACTGCTAAATAGCATTATAGTCTTTTGTTGGTGTTGGTGTTGTTGTAACATGTTAAAACTTACTGGGCAAAGAGAAAAACAAATAATTCCTTGCATCTTTTTTTTAAAATTGGAAACTGAAGCAATATCTAGGACCACTCATGAAGAAACACTGTGGCATTGGTGTAATATACACAATGCACTCTTTTTTTTTTATCTTAATGTACATCAAATACTTTACAACAAAGCATTAACAAAAAGCAAGAAATATCTTGCAGTAGAGGGGAACCGTAAATGCAGCTTGAAGCCTAATTCACAATGAGGATAGTAAACAAAATGTGAACTGTTCCCCATAGGCTGTGTAAACTTTCATTCTTGTGCTTTATGTGCCACCCATGCTATGTTTACCCACCACCTAAGCTAATTAATTGGGGCAGATATACTAAAGACAAATAGGCTGTTCACTTTGCAAGGAAAGTTTTCCTTAGCTTAGTGTGGTGAAAATTAATTTTGCAAAGTATTCCCAATCACGTGCACGGAAAATTGCTTGCACGTGATTGGATGATGGAAGTCAGCAGAGCTTCACCGCATTCACTAGGCAAAGGGATTTTTTCCTTGTAAATTGAAAATTCCCTTGCTAAGTCAACAGCCTTGGTGCTTTTAGTAAACCAACCCCATTGGATGCTTGTGTGTCATACCCTGCATCTGTACTTCCAGTTGTCAATTACTGAAACTCTAGGTTGATGCTGGTGCAGTATCCCAACTTCACCACTCAAATTGCTGCCTTGGCATTACACAGTTGCAGCTACCTTCTGCTTTACAAAGTTGCAGCTACCGTCTATCTGAAAAGTTGAACTTACCTGTTATTATTAACATTAGCTTATCTTAATTAATGTCCTATGAAATATTAGTTTCCAATACATTAGCCTTCTAAAACACCATAACCAATTTCCACAACAGTAATTAGGATCTTTCTAAGGAACAGGCTTAATAAACTAAATTTTGCAAGGAAAAATGTCTTAAGTCAGGCATGCACATGCACAGATTCCTGGATCTGCGTCTCAAACCCAGGAGTCCGGGGAGGCCGGATAGTGGCTTGTTTCGTAGTTCAGTTCACTATAGGGGCGGGCCGCAGAATAAAAGTCAACATAGTTTCCAGTTGACTTTAATCCCAGATGCATATTGTACTCTGCTGCAGGAGGGCGGTGATGCACCTGATCCTCAAAGAAGGAATCATCATAATTTCTTGTTGAGTTCTGAAAAGGTTGATAGGCTTCATAGTCTTTTCTACTAGATTCTTGTGGAACTGGCTGTGTAGAAATCTAAATATAAAAATGTAAAATAAAAGACATGTACATTTATGAAAAGTATATTTAATAAACGTAGGTGTATAACGTTTGCGAACAGCAATCAAAATCATTCATATCTCTGTAACAATATGATAGGAGTCAGCAAGGAGCCGGAAATTGATCAAATATATTGAACATTCGAGACAAGGTCTTATATACAGGTATGCTGATATTTTCAACAGAACTAATCTGTCTTCATTTTATAGATATCCTCAAATATAAATTATGAGCTCAGGTTTCCATGGCTAAAACAGTCAGACATCTTTCAGAATGTGTCAGGTGTCTAACTTTTCTCTTCAAGCCAAGGAAGTTGAGCTGAACCATAAGCGGATTTCTAGACAGTCTTTATATATTGCTACACCTTTGCACAAAAAAAAAAAAAAGTTCAATAACCTGTGCAGTGGCGGAACTATCGCCATAGTGACCCAGGAGGCTGCTATGGGCCCGAGGCCCAGGATGCAGAACAAAGGGGTCCTCTGATGCCGTGTGGGCCGCCTGGGTTGCTATGGCATCGCAGGCTGCTGGCTGTCACTGACGGCTGTGAGGAGCAACGCACCAATGTTCAGATCACTGACAACCCGTCAGTGATCTGTGCAGTGGCGCGTTCCTCCTCAAGCCGCTGCTGCTGCGGAGTTAGTGACAGCCAGCAGCTGCAGGGGAGGAGGCAGGGCGTCGGCAACAGAGGAGTCAGGGCACGCCAGCGACTGTGTAGGAGGAAAAGGCAGGGCCTGGCAGTGGAGGAGGCTGACAGCGGACCCAGGGCTGACAGGTAAGAGGTGTGTAGACCCTACAGAGCCCACCATAGAGAGTCTAGAGTCAAATGTCTGAGCCTCGTGTCAAGTGAGGTTTTGGCATATGTAGGTTGAATGACAAAAGGAGGGGGTTTGTTTGGGTAGGGGCAGGGCTTAAAGTGTATTTTCACTTTTGCAGCCAAATTGGAAACACCCATTTTATATTTGTTATATGTTCCCATTCATTTCACATAAGCTAAAAAAATATGAAACATGCTTCATGAAATTTACATTGCTTTTTACTTGCTAAAACTTTACTTTTCTTTTTCTTCTTTGTAATGTTAGGATGCACTGTGAGAGGTTTATGTTAACCCTGTCTGTACTGTGTTGGCTGATTTCATTATAATTTGTAAAGTAGATTTCAACATTCCCTGTCCCAGAAAAGGGTTATAGGATTACAGCTCTGGCTCTTGCATTGTATAGTAATGAGAGAAACACATGCCACACAGTCCTGTCATTTGTCTTCCCATAAAAACAGGTCTTTGTGAAGGTTCTCAGAAAAACTAGATGGATTCTGCCATTTTGTCTGCTGCAACAAAACCTCTAAAAAGGTAAGAAATGTTTTTTAAAATTCTTTTTTTGGTGTGCTGTATGAAGGGGAACACATAATAAACATATACTGGGGTTTTCTCAACTTTGACTGCAAAAGTGGAATTACACTTTAATCTTGATTTGGGCATAAATCAAGGCCCCATGTACAGCCTGGGCCTAGGATCCAAAGGGCTTCAAACGGGATCATCTTAAAGAAAACAAGTACTTTCTGGAACCCCATCTTACAATTAATTACCGTTTCAACATCTAAAGAAAACAACACTGTTTATATTGTATTTTACATAATGCCAATATTAGAAAAATGTTTAACGCATTTACTTACGAAATTATTTCTTACTTTTGTGCTTAGTGACCTATTAAACAACATTTCTCCTCAAGATATGATTTTAAGTGCTGTTCTTAGTGAATAACCCCCTAAATATTTATACAAATGCTGCATACTTTAAAATCTAATAGAAAAAAATGCCTGTGAGGTAAGCAAAGAAAATATATAAAAAAAATGTATTTTATATCATAAATAACAACTAACACATTGTATGCTATTATTAATAAATTACTATATACAGTAGTTTAAGCATTACATACCTGATTGTGTTTGATATCATCGGCCGGTGGACCAAACGAATTTCTATATAGGGTTGAGGATCCAGTGATTTGATCTTAAGAGAAAGATTAAAAAAATATTGAATGAAAAAACTTGATTCAGTATTAAGCACCCAAAGTTACACATACAGACTTGATCATCATTTCCTCCAAATTAGACACCTATTGCATGGAGTAAATGGCAGCCTCATTGTGCTATTGATGATAAGCAACATAAATATCCAACCCATAGTGTAAATCTGCTATTTTGGTAACTCAATTTGGCTAGTGACTTCTGTAGGAGTTTAAATGAAGTCCCTAGCAAACCATGTATGCTTTATAACAACATAAAGTCGTGCATAGATGCAACTGCCATTTGTAATCATTTAGAAAATGCAGAAAAAGTATTTGTTTCCTTTATCTTTCAAATACACTTTTTAACTTGTTTTTAAAGGACATGTCTACTGTGCAAAGTTATTAGTTTACATGATCTACACATTTGTTTACTCTATTTTTGTATATAGTACAAATAACATTACATAACTGCATAGAAGTGTAAATAAAATATATATTCTGTTTCCTTCAATAACAAAATGCAAAGAAGTGTTTAAATATTATATTGTTAGATTAATATATAATATATGTATAAAGTTATTATCTTTGATTGCACTAAAGGAATCGGAATAGAATTAACAAAGCAACATTCTTGTTTCCAAAACAGCAACAAAATAAGCACCTAGCTCAGTGTCAAATTAGGCATTTGGAGAAGAGCTGCTATTACAGTGCAAATTTAGAGGTTACAGAACCCTCACAGTGGCTGTTTTAGCTATCAGTTTTTCTAGCATTTAACTTCATACCATCTGTTGAAAGGGCTGTAAAATGCCATCTTGACCATTGAAACTCAGGAGCCTGCAGTGATCTCTGCGTGTTTTAAAAAAAAATTAAATTAAGAGTCTAAGCACTAAGCAGTACAAATATACATGAACATTCCTGATATAACTTTAAAGTGACTACAGCGCAGAAAAAGTAGAGATAATAAATTGGAGAACAGTCCAATACAAACTGACTAGTAAACATCTGCCTGAATTTGTTTCACTGCTGACATTCCAATTGCAAAATTGAATTTGATAATAAATATTACATTACCGTGAAACTTATTTATATATTGAGTTTGAAGGCCATTTTGATAAAAATTAAATGATTGACATGGTTGGAGTACATAGGCTTTACAGCAGTTACATGTGATGACTGTATGGCCACTGCTTTTTTAAATTATTATTTCTTGGCTGGAAGTAACAGCACTAGCAGCAGTGAGCAGAATAGTAGAAGAAGGGGAAGTGTGGATGGGTGGTTGGTTAGTTAAAGATTATATTCTGTGGCATTAGCAATGGTGGCTAAAATTATGGTGCCATCTAGGTCCTGTTGACTTTTATTATTGTCAACCATTTGACACTTACAGCCTACAGTCTATTTCAGGGTTTCCCAACCTTTAAAAGTATCTTGTAAATGTAAAAAATGATGGATGGTTACCATCAAAAACTATACATGGTCCTTATTCATGCAAAAAAACTAAAGAAAAAATGATGCTGCTTTCCCCCCTTCCCATTAGAAGTCCCCCTTGACATCAGAGTCCTCGGTCCCCCTTTCACATTAGAGTTCTACCTTATACGCCTGCAGCAGTGTGGCTGAGGCAGCATGGTAGAGGGTGGGATGTGGAGCAGGTCTGGAAAAAATGCGAAGGCACCCTTGATAAAGGCTGGTCTAGTCATTGTTGGCAATGTTAATAACTTACAAAAAAACTATCTTGAAGAGGACTATAAATGTAGGGAATATGTGTATAAAAATAGGACATGTTCAGGCTGCTGCTACAGTAAAATAGATTGAGTCCACAGCGCTCAGCAAACCAATGCTGGGTACTCTTCCACAATCTACACCACCAGTCACTGAGGAAGCCTGCTGTCCACAAAGACAACTGGGAAGTATCCTCATGAACGATGTAAAAAGAACAGCACCTTTTCCTTGTATGATACCGTTTTATTATATACAGAATATAAAAATAAAAAACTACTCACATAAACATGATGGAGACACGTGGTGTAATTAACCATTCATGCAGGGCAGAGCCAAAGGTGTTGATTCATTTCGAGGGAGATCCCCCCCTTCCTCAGCTAACACAGGTACCTCCAGTCGGAAAAAATATGCTCAGTGGCAAACGTGATCAGTATAGGAGCCAATCACAGCAGGAGCTAATGAGAGCATAATGCAGACCACAAAAAGGAACAAAAGGTATCAATACCCCAAAATCATCTCTGTAGCTGAACTGATGGAACCCAGCAATTAAAAAGAACAAACCCCCTACAACATATAAAGGGTCATCAAATATCTTAAAGGAGAACTATGGGGTCAGTGTTTTTCCCCATAGTTCTCCTTAGGGTAACGGGAGGACACACACTAGTGTCCTCCCATTACCCTAAGCTCAGTATACCGCAAGCTACAACTATCTAGAGGCAGAGCCAGCTGTACCCGCCCCTCCCCCGTCCGTTCTGCCAGTCAGCGCGGATCGGAGCGGGGAGAGGGGAAACCAGCCCCTCCCCCTGTCACGGCAGAGAGCCGTGACAGGATCGAGAGGTGAGCGAACCCGGTATGTGATCGCTCACCTCCCAATCTACTGAGCCGACCTGTGACTGTCTCATTGTCACAGGTCGGCTAGAACTATGAGGTGAGTGGAAATCACTCATCTCATAGTTCTCCTTTAATGTGATGACCCTAAACGCTGCCATGACAGCATTACTCAGCAAGCTGTACCACAATGTGTCTCCTTCATGTTTATGTGAGTAGTTTTTTATTTTATATTCTGCTATAATAAACAGTATCACACGAGAAAAAGGCAATGTCCTTTCTGTTTGTGTTTTGCATGATGCCACAGTAAGCCTGCATGATGATTCATGGGGTTATCTGCGAGGTCTAAAGGGAGAATAAGCCTGTCCAGTCAGGCAGTCATTGTGCTTCCAAATCTGCTGCCTATGGCTCTAGTCTTGCACTGTCTTGGTCTGGCAGTGTGGCTTTCATAAAACCCTTATTGAGATTTTGCAGAATCTGTTATTAGTGACGATGCTGTTTCCTATGATGGTAGTGGAGAAGCCTAATTTAAGCAAGACTTTACAGAATCTGGTGTTTGCTGAGAAAAAAATTGACCAAGCTACCTGTTCTAGAGGGTGTAGAATTTCTTTATCTTCAGTGCAGTCTCCTCATCCACCAAGCATTTCTGCCCTTCTTTGATGACAGCGACTCATCTAGCCCCTGTCCACTTCCTTCTGCACACTTTACTGTTCATAAGGGTGCAACAATGGTGTAATGGATATGTACCTTGAGAGTGTTGTTTCTGCTCATTATGCTTCCTAGGCTTGGTGAGCACCTCATTTACCATGTCATTCATGCTGCATTGTTGACAATATGTATGGTCTTTTCAAAAAGAACTCAAGAAACCTGGCCTCCAGCTGGCTTCAACACAAACCACTGAATTTCCAGGTGCTGCAGAGATGAGGGCAACAACTATGACAGTGAAGGGCTCCAGTCACATATCTGCCCCCCCCCCTTTCTTATTAACTGAACACAAGGTATTCTGTAAATGGAGGGAAGGGGAGAAGAGGGGTGGGCATAGGACATGCTCTCTCCTCCATTCACATGTCTGTGAAAAAAATACAAGACTATTTAAATGGGAGAGGAAAGAGGATGGAGTGGGGAAATGACTGGAGCTTTAAACAGCTGGAAATAAAGGTTAAACTATATAGGCCATGTGTCTTTTTTCACCATAGTTAATCTCTTCCACTATGTAGGTATTTTAATTGCCGTTTGGATTCCAAGCCTTGTTTCTACCTCTCACCTTCAAGTCTTCAGTCACATGACTGACATGCAATACCTTCAGTATTCTGTGATTTAGTCTTTTTTGCTTAAAAAACACAAACAAAGGGCGCCTTTCCTGGTGCAGACAAATTTATTAAGATCAGGATCAGAGGTAGATAAAAAACATACTCACAAAATTCAGCATGATAATAATATAAAAAGTAAGTCCATGGACCCAAAAGAAAGTCTGTGAAAGCTGCACAGCCGTGTCTATGTGTCTGCAGAGGAGACTGTGTGATGTGTGATGACGCGTTTCCGGGGTCACGCCCCCTTCATCAGATACCGACCACCTCCGTCCCATGTGCTAAATATAGTGGCAACTGGCCAATCGGCAGGTGTGCGGGAACCATGTCGGCTCGGACCGCAGCTGCTGGGAATGTGTGTAGAGTGTCATCCATGACTATAGAGGTGGAGCCCTGTCCTGTGACTAACGGAACAGCCCTTCCTGGCGCTGGACCAATCACAGGGAGACTATACGTGGGTTCGCCTGGAGGGAGTGGCCCATGTTATCGTCCAATCCCCGGGACAGAAAACCGGACCATGTTCTGCTATGTAGCATATCGATTGTGCAGCATGTCAGCTGTACAGTGAGCACTATGAGAAGGAGGTGGGCTGTGTACAAAGAGCGATTTATGACAGATACCATGACAGATGTAAACAATTTGTATTCAGCTAGTATAAAAGGCTGTGCAAGCCATATCAGAACAGATATACGTTTACAATAAAGCTGATGGAACTGCTCTATAAGGCAAGGAATATTTAATTATATGAAAAGACACAATTAGGGCCAGATAGAATATGCATATACCCTATCCATGGTACGCATGAATAAAACATATCTATGTATTAAAAACTATACGTATGTTTAAAATATATAAAAAATGTGTGAGGGGTATATAAAAAGAGGACATGTATATGTATATGGAATTAATGTCGATATATGATTAGTTAGAACCATCAATAGGGAAATAGGTATATAAATATGTAAATATATATAAATGAATTGCGAATAAATTACAGGCATGATATGTCTTAGCAATAAAGGTTTAAAAGGTAATGCTATATATATATACATACGATCTATAGATTAACACTTGATTATGAGAAATATTATTAAAAATGAAGAGAAATAAAGAGAGGTTAAGACCAGAGAAAATTTATAGAAACATTAGTG